TATATAAAGGTTAGTTTAGTGCAATAAAATAGATTTCCAAAATTTTGACATTCCAGCATGTTTTGGCCATTATCTCCAAAACAGGATTTGCGACGAGTGACTGGTTTGGCTTGTCTTTGCCACATGTTTTTAATTGTTTGAATAAATAAACCAAACAATACAAAGCTTGCATATTTCATTTTTCAATTCAATTTCATTAAAATTCCAAAAGTATTCAGAACAGAATAAAATAACAAACAGAAATAGGAAACAAAAATCAAACTAAATTATAGTTAAACTAAAAAAATCATTAGCGCCACATGAAGTATCCCATAAAAAAGAACCATTTGAATTTGAATCAACACGGCTTGATTTAGAGACCCAGGCAAGCATTACTGTTTCATTGCATTTTATTTTTGCTCAAATAAAGTACAATAAATTAGAAAGAAGAAACAAAGAAACAAGACAAGAGTCAGACTTGCAAAGAGACAAGATAAATAAAACCCTAATTATGTTTGTGGTAAAAACTTCAAAAACAAGAAATAAATACAAAAAATTATGAAAGCTATTTAGAGGTATAATTATGGCAGCGGCTAGTGCACTGTTTGTGGCTTGGACTCTCAATTTTGAGGTTGGGGGTTCGAAGATTTCACCGTGCAAGTCGCTTGTGTCCTTGGGCAAGGCACTCTATCCATGTTGTCTCTCTCTACCCAAGAGTTTAAGTGGGTACCTGAGGAGGTTCAAGTGCAAAATGCGCTGATATATTTCAAGCGGCAAATTATGGAATTTCCCCCATAGGCATCGTTCTAATGACTGAGGTAATAATATAGAAAAGCGAGACTTGGGTAGACCACTATATAAAAACATACACATTAATATTCTACTGATGTTTTGTGGAGTGGCTCACACTTAGGCTCATACGCAGGAATCTGTACGGGAAGGTGCAAATTGTCAGTGACTTGGACTTCGGCTTCCAGCTTGGTAGAGGTGTTGAGCCCTGATGTGGGTCAGGAACTATGAACCTGGCTTTTCTAAACTTTTTGATACCTTATTCTAATGTTACAAATATGACTCATGGCTGTTACAGTAAAGTTGCTTCTGAAAATGATTGTATGATTAAGGTGTCATTCACATTTTATCATTTTCATAAGGGCACAAAACATAGGCTACTTTGAGGATTCAACAACATATGTACAAGATATACAAATTTATTATATACTCTTTGTTTCTGGGTTAGAGAGGGGTCAGAAGAAAGAGTATGTTTTGTGCATCCTTGAAATATAATAAAAAATTTGGGATTTGGGAAATGTTGGAGAAAAAAAAAATCAAAGATATATAATGTTATACAAAGAACCACTAATGTAAAAAGAAAAAAGCTTCAAAACTTGTATGATTTATTTCTTATATCACACAATTTTTAAATTAAAAAAAACGCATTATGAACATACCTCCATTTGTTCAATAAAAGACACTGAAATATACATAAAAACAGAAAGATCATACCTTTGACAATTTGGTGGTATGCAAAGTGGAGGTAAAGTAGGAACAGTAGGTGTACAGCTGATACAATGCCAGCAATCAGTAGCTTCTGGGTTTTACCACTTGTTCTTGAAAAGTAAACAGCAGACTAAAGGGAAACAAGAATATAATTAACACTGTATTATTAATAATAAACAATGTACAACTAGGTGCCTAAGGAAAACAAAAACAAGTGTCGAGCATCTGATCAGGGGGATCTTTTGATTGGAAGCCCAAGTATTTACTGCTGCACCACATTCTCATTTTCAAGATATAGCATTCTCATCAGACAGTGGATTTTGCAGAAGACTTGAGGGAGAAACATCTTTATCACCAAGCCAAAAATCTACAACATAAAATTGATTTATCTCAGGATTTGAACCCAGATCCTGGTATTAGGAGGCAGTTAGATTAATAACTAAAGCCGGGCTCTCACTACATCCAACAGCTGCCAGTCGACACAATTCTATGGAGAATGCAATGCCATGATGCGCGCAATGAATCGTTTTTTAATGACTATCTCTTCAGACTGCCACTGACAATCAGTAGACTGCTTCATGTTGTTTAGCATTCACAGGGAGTTGAGTTGGCTTCATTGTACGACAAGTGAGTGCTCAGCTTTAGATAACTTCACTCAGCATTGTTCTACTCACCATTTTCAATGCTGATAGACCACCAAATATAGCCCACATCATATAAAAGAAGAAATGGGAATCTAAATTGTGCAGAGCAGTTCCAAGGAATATCACAATACAGTTTGCAAACTGTGAATAACCCTGTAAAAGATAAAGTCCTTATTTATTCATGCAATCACTTTAAGAATGTACCTGTCAGGAGAGGTTAATACAATATTTTTACATAAATACTATTAATTTTAATAATAAAAATGAGAATAATATTAGTTAACACAATGATGCAGCAAAGGTGGCAACATTGGAAATTAGCATAATCCAATATGTACTTGTGATTCTTTTTTAAAAACGTTTTGAACACAAAACTGTTTAAGTAATAATTTGTGTGTCTGTGGGCAAGGTCTGTGGTGTTTGTGGGTTTTTGAACCTAGGACCCTGGGACTAGAAAGACAGCATCTTTACCACCAAGCTACTGCTCTGCTCTACACCACAATCAAAATATAACTGACAATAACAATTAAAATAATAAAATAATTAGACAAGCGGAAGTTGTTTGGTACCATGGAAACGGTTTGGTTTCCCAACCTTGAGGTCGGGGTTTCAATCCCTCACTGTGCATTTTACTTTTGTCCTTGGGCAAGGCACTTTATCTGCATTGGTTCTCTTCTGCAATGTTATGGAAAACTCCCCCAGGTAGCTTGAGTTTGTGTTTCATAGGAGTTTACTCAAATGTTCGGGGTAATGATAATGTTTAGCGCATAGAGGGCTCAAAAATATGCACTATACAAGTCCACCATTATCATTATTAAGTATATTCTTCAGATACGGTACCACCAGTAATGTACAAATAATTGTGAATAACAAAAGTAGATGTTACTTACTGTTAGTGACAAAACTTGCAAGGGTGTAATTTGAGTGTTACAAATATAAGCGACAGTGTAGAATAGACCAGATGCGATAAACCAGTATCCAAAGCATAATCCTATTGCAGACCCCATCAGTGTTCCCTCTCGCTACATTTATCAAGAAAATAAACGTTTCGAAGGTTATGTTACCTGTGTTGAGCTAATAATATTAATAACAATAATAATAATAACAGTAATAATAATAACAACAATGATAATAACAATAATATATTTATTTCCTTCTTTTCAGCATAAAAATCAATACAAAACAATATACATTAAAAAAAATTCACAGTAAAACATAAGGGGGCAGCTTCGGAGGAGCGAAAGCTGCACTGGAGATGGTGTGCCATCTAACACATCCATTTCAAGAACAGAAATAGTAATTCAAAAGTATTATATCAACATTAAATTTTTTTAAAAATCTTCAAAAAATATATATTAGTCATTATTCAATTATTTCATTTTTGAATAATTACTACTGTAAGTATTAATTGGTTTATTACTTAGTAATTATCAATCCTGTATATTTATTATTACACAATCAATAATATAATGAATTGATTAATTAGTATAAACTTGTTTTTACAATAAGAGGAGGATAGTAACTTATGCTGCATTATGTCTTACCACAACATGCGAGGATGACTTCATCTCCATTAAAAGAAAAGCAATCAATGTGAAGACAACCATCAGTGGACCATACAACTCTGTTTCTACTTTCTAATAAAAAAAATTATAAAATATGGTATCATCATGAAAAGATTACATAAAAAAAAAACTGTTTTATTGCAAGTGCTTTTGTTGTCACAGCCCCAAAACCAATACTGGAGCATCAAACTCAGAGATATGAAGATGTGAAACACCATCTCTCTCTTTGAATTTGTAGTTGAAATACAGTATCTGGACTTCACGCCAGTGTTTCACCTAGATCAGCAGATCTTAAAACAATGCATGAGTATATATAGGGTATAGGAGTGATAGGAATGCATGCCAAAATCATCAATATAATTTAGAATATGTCTTACCTGTGGTCTCCCAGATGGTCTCTTTGGCACAAGTGAAAATATCAGCCTAAGAAAAAAAATTTCATTGAATAATCAGTACCTCTTAAAAAAAGTTACTCTTTCTGAATGTTTTACACCTCCATATACACACACTATACCAAACCAGGGATTGTAATCATTGTGTAATAATATTGAAATTTTCGGCTCAAAGTATACTCATAGTTTTAAGGTAAATCACCATCACAAGCCAAGTCTCAAGAAAAAGTTGAGCCTATGTATTAAATCACATGCATGACAGCATTCAGCACTTACTCACATCTAGGTCAAGAAATGAATGTTAAGTGCTACTTTAGAATAAAATACTGTAGGTCATTGGAGGAATATAAGCATAGAAGAAAAAATATAAAACTCATCAAAATAATTATTTTAATCTACACCTATGTAATATTGTAGGTGTCAAACAGTTGCATGTATTGTTGCTTGTTATAATTTGTGTATATGTGTAATGTTGATTATAACTTTACTGTACCTTCTAACAACTACTTTTGGTTCAACATCAAAATACGGTCTGAAGATATCAATATTTGCATACAAATCAAACACTTTTCTAGCTTGGTCTTTACCTGCTTTCCATGCCTATTAAAAAGTAAAAATAATAATAAAGATAAACTAATGACTAGCAACAATTTTACAAGTTATTTTTATTTGACGAAAAAACAAAGGTGGTGTCTTCTAAACGAGGGTCGTAGGACAACATTTTTTTCCTTTATGACTACAGTAAAAACAAATTCATTCTGTCTTTAGAGCCACGCTTCAGGACTGTATACTGTAGTAAGTGGAATAATCACCGAATGTGTTTCATGTCATTCATAAAAATAAAATAAAAAAAAGGAAGGTTCAAGTGATTAATTGTTAGGGCTAGCTTCAAGAATGTTCACTCTAACGAATCAGTTGCTACACTTACTGTTCCTGCAACTTCTTGGCCTATTTGACTCCTCATGGCTTTCATAAAGTCACCGGTCTCTTCATCATGTTCTTCTTCATCCTCGCCATCATGAATGTCCATTGTGTGAAGCTCCGCAGGTTCACGTGAAGGACCACCAAAGTCTTCCATTGAATCTGTCATTTCTATTACTGCAGAAGTGTCAGACTACAAACACAATATTTACAACAAAAGTAACAAGGGTTAGACTAAGATAAATTATCTACGGTACCTAATACAAGATACAATTTTACCTAATGGTGTGTGCCTATATGAAGTATGAAATAGTGGGGCAGCTGAACTACAGTTACAATCAATAGTTCAATAAGGATAATTTATAATCTACATATTCATTCTGCTAATCCCCACTGCGTAATTTCACCTATCTCCTCTGAAACCGCTGGCAGGAATGTGCTCATATCTCATACAATGGGGTTTCTATACAGTATGTCACGACCACATTCCGCTACTTCTCTTGGCTGGATCAACAACTCAAAAAACAGTCAAAAACCACCGAAAAACAGTACCTGTTTCCCCATGTTTCTCAAATCGCTTACGTCACATAAATAAATCCCCTCTGTTAATCTGTACTGCGGTGCTCAGATTTAAGAAATATCGCATCAGGCCATAAAAGAAACAGTCTGTCTCGCAGCTTCATTACGTCACCGCGCATGCCTCACATCAACAAAATATATGAGCAGCATATACACCACCATTGTACTGTATACTGAATATATTATTACTGTACAGTGTAGTCCTATACTGTATGCCTCAAAAACATCAGCAATAAATGGCGTGTTTTAGAAATCGATCAGGTAAAAATAAACGTATATGGCTATTCTTCGGCAAAAGTGCATATTAACATAGCGATACTGAAATTCAAATGTAGGGTCAAGCCAGTTCCAACAATCAACAACTCAAATTTACGTAAGCACGTCGGATCAACAGGCATGTTGGATACAGTAAGGATGGGGGAGGGGTGTGGGCACGTGCCTCCCCATTTTGCCACAAAATTTTTGAAATTTCAATGCATATAATGTTATGTGCTACTCACTTATTTATTCTAAACTATTGTGGCCTCACGCCCCCGTTTAAAAAATTCTGGATCCACCCTTCATCAAACTGCACAATAATTCCTCACAACACAAGGACTATTCACTCAAAACATTATTTACAAAGACGTCCTTTAAAAAAATAACATGCTAACCATAACATCCACAACGATTGCCTCCTCGACTTCCAATAACATTCAACAATAGACATCGCCACCTTTCCCCACTCAATGATACCGTGCATAGCACAGGTAAATGCTAGTAAAATATAATTTATTGAACACAAGCTTTTGTTCATGCAGTAAACTTCTTCAGGTGACTGTCATAATGTTGCAGTCCTAGGCTATACCCTAATACTACCAAAGTGTAATGCTGGTGTCAGCTGGTGGTCACCTGATCCAAGAGCAAGACAGTCACATGGCCAAGTGATGTTACGCTCCGAGGCTGATGTTACCGACTTGAATAGGGAAGATTATTGATGGACGATACCATACTTGTATATTATGTCTAGACTTACTTTCTAAATTCCTGAACTGTAATGTATTTTAATTGCATGAATGATACCACAAAAACTAGCTCAAATTTTCACAGAAAATCGCTAAGAAAATAGGTGCGCAGAATCATAAATACTGCATGATACATTGGTTAGATATTAAGATTAGGTCAAAGCCTAATTTTCAGCAAAATCTGCACAAAACAATTGGCCCTTATTTTTCGAAATGCACGGACGGATTTCTAGGCCTAATTTTTACATGGAGGATATAATCCCCACACAGGCCTTTTACTTACCATCTGGTTCACCTATAGTAAATCTTCATAAACAATACAAATTTGTATAAAGACAAGTCATTGATTGTGTACAAAACAGGAAAATAGTTATTTTTAATAGCATAAATAAAGAAATATTTAACTAATTTTTGTCATTTATTATACATTAGATTACTCCCTCCTTGGACCTACCTACACAGTATCCTATCTATCAATGTGTTCTTTCCATTAGCATTGAACTAGCCTAGGCCTAGGTAGGGCCTACTGTGAAAGTAATTATGTTTTCAAAGGCATATCTAAGCCTACCAGTAGGAAGCTTAGGCCTAGCCTAATACTATAGTCTAGGCCCAGCCTAAGCTAAGGGGGTGAGCCGCCTAGACTAGGCCTAGCCAAACAAAGCCAGGCCCAGCCTAGGCCTAGCTAGAGCCTGAGGCCCTACCTATGCCTAGCTAAAATTTAGGCCTACTCTATAGCCAACTACTATCTAACTAACCCATCAGCATTTAGGTCTACCACTGTTCTAGGGCATAGGTCTATTATAAGCCCAGGCCTGGTTGATTTCAATCACAAATATCATTTCAAAAGAAGTTATATTAGGCTAGAAATATTTTCTAACCTGACTACTGTCAGCCCAATCATTGGAAGTCGCCATGGTGGAACTTTTCGACTCTCTCCGATCCAATAAATTTATTATATTTAAATTAAAAATAGTTTAATTCGAATTTGGAACAGACATAACAAGATATATGTATTTAAATCAATTATAGTATTATTTTAACTAATTAAGTGAATATTTTAATAAATATGCATTTTAAAATGTGGTATATTTTATATAATACTGTACATACTACGGACTTAGGTCAAAAAGGGTCAGAATATAGGTGGTGGTGCGTGACGACCATGGTGACGACACATACTTTGTACACGCGTACACTTTCAAAAAAACTACTGACTACTGAAAATTAAAAAATTCCCTACCTTAGCATTAGCAACCTTAAAATACTTCCATTACACACTGTGCTTTTTCTTTTCTATTTTTAGCATTTTTCGGGGAAAAATACGCAAACAGTAAACATATCGTGTGAGAATGTGTAGACCTCACAAAAAGTCGTCACTCATGATGATTAGAAATTAAATGATATTTTTTTAATTATTATTACTGAATAAAAGATGTGTCATGAGCAAAAAAATTGAAAAATGAAATTCAATATTTGAATATTTAAGTCAAAAAAGAATTATTGCTTGCTCTCTTGCTGAGTTAACAAACGGACATATGACAGATTTTTACTCTTTACTTACCCAAGTTAAATCTAGTGGCTGGTAATCAAGATTTGTAGAATGTAGGAATCAGCGATCGATCATATTAGTGTTTCTGGTTGAAAGTTAGGTTATTATCTGAGACACTAATTTTGGGCCGATTTGGGTAATGGGTGACCAAATTGCTTGGGCAAGTTGACGGGAAAGACGTGTAGTGACCCCTTCAGTTAAAATTAAGCAAGGAGGTATTTTGTCTCCTTGTTTAGTGATCTCAGATCAGATATCTCAGATATTTTTCCAGTTAAAAAAAAATTCAAATAGTATTTTTGGATATTGACCCGAATCAAACCAATCAGAGAAAACTTTTAAAACTATATTATCTGTACTGTTAATTTGTGTTGTGAACAAATAACGAATTCGTTGAGGTTGAACCCTATCGGCCGGACGACAATCTGCATATTCCACCTTGGGGTTAACCGTTTTTAAAGATTAACTTTCCTTCATTTGCCCCAAAAACAACTTGTCCCTTTATACACGAAAGCTTGTTGTACATACTTAACTACAGATTCTCTTCTTGTTTTTTATAAGAATGAAGTTTTGCCCAGACTCAATGTTCTTATTTTCTTTTTGCCGATTTCAGGCTGAAAGAATTTTGACATTTTATCTCATTTTATATCGCAGCTAGTCAATATTGTTCTTATTTTGATTCAAGATTCAAGATTCATTTACAGTATTGTCGTCATCACTTTTAAGCGATTTCAGCATCAGTGTTCGTATAAAAAATAGTCTAGTCTCAAATGATAAATTCAAACTTTCAATTACAGTAAACACTAAGCACGAACATGGGCCCAGATATGCAAAGTACGGTAGCAATAAAGTAACTTTAGGTGAGAAATAGGCTACTCGCGCGATACGGTTCAGTGGCTTCCACTCGAACTGACTGAAAATGCGCTCGAGTTGGTGTCGCTCAACCGTATCCGCTCGACATATGCATTGCGTCCCAGCATGGCAGATGATTTGGATGATGAGTGGTGGTTATCACCAAAAGAACAAACTGAAAAAAACGCTAGTAAAGAAGAAGAATATGGTAGGATTACAGGCTTATATACCGCTGCCCATGGCCATGGAGATGTTACTAAAGCATACTTACTACAAATAAGAACTCTCTTTAAATGCTAGGGAGTCCGGGTCTAGCCTAGGATAGGGTGATGACAAGGCCTGAAGTGAGGGTGTAAACGGGGTTTAGACCTAGGGATAGACCTAGGCCTAGCTAGGTTGGGCTAGGGGGCCTAGGCCTAGCTAGGTTGGGCTGCCTCGGTGATCGTTTTACTGCTGTGCAAAACTCTAGGCCTAGATCTTTTATTTTTAGTGTGTCAATTTATGTTTATTAGTTTTTAGTGCTAAATATCGAGGCTGTGTAGCTAGGAAAGTTACGTTGACCACTTGGTTTGGTTGGTTCGCACTCATCAAATTTTGCAGGCTCATGAAAAAAATTACTAGCCTAGCTAGCTAGGCCCTAGCCTAGGCCTATTTGCTATTTTTCAAAAAAACATTCATTTTTCCATGGACGATAAAAGAAATCTCAAAGAATGATGTCAAGCCTAAGAAGAGGTGGTAACATAAATGGCAGAAATACTTACAAAGATTCATTTTACTTCTTTTATAATAAAAAAAAAATCTATTTTGACTATTTACCAGCCTGTTTACCATTGTACATAGAATAGTAAAAAGCAAACAGTAAATACCCTCACCAAAAAAGAACTTCAAATCCCAGACCTGAAACTAACAATTAATTTTATTTGGCCTTATAACAGCAAGTACCAAAAAGAAGAAAAATAAAGATGATGAGAGTAAGAAAAGAAGTCACAATCGCATGGCTGAGGAAATGATTGAAGAAGATACTAGTAGTAGCAGTGGACTAACAAAGAAGAATAGGAAAAGGGTATGATAATATTTGGAAATATTTAAGAATAAGAAATATACCACTGTCAAAAATATGGGCCTTATTTTCAGTTTCTGTTATAGTCCAGATTATAAAACCAACCTACTGTAGGTGGGATTAGTGCACTTAACCTAGTTTAGTTGAAAATATTCATCTGGTTTGTAGTGCGAGAAATTTTCTATTTTAAAAAACCAATTTAATCAGTTCAAATTAATTGGGTGGTTAAAATAGAAAATTTCTCACATAAGAACCTAATTGTTTTTCATTTATTGTCAATACCAGGTCAAATCTTACTCGTATTATTAACTTATATTTTACACGAGAAGAAATCCGGACACAGAAGAATTTGTGCCAAAGGCGTTGACCGTGGATATACAGTGGCTTTCCCCGACAACAGGGCAAGAGTTGTACTTGCTGTGAAGCACCATCCCAGCGAGGGGAAGGTTTTGGCGCCCCCTCCCTAATGAGAAAATGTTTAAAAATAAGGCCCCCCTGTAGTGCCACCACTGTGGATATGTACAGTAGCTGACATTAAATATCTTCTCTAATGGGTTTTGGTTAGGACATTAAGAAGATAATTTGGCCTCAGCTGCATACCCATGGGTCCATGGAACACCCCTGATCCCCAAACGCAAGAGCATATTAATATCACAAATTTTTTGTACAACTCCTAATTATTTACAAGGACACTTTCTTTGTTTCTGCCACCTACTGTAGCATAAAAAGAAGAAATGCGAAGAACATGAAAATAAAGAAGAAACTGCCGGAAAGTGGGAGGATGTTGTTGCTGCTTTACACAATCATTTCAATGGAAAGATTCCAGTTATAGAAATGGAAGATCTTTTACTATCCGGTACAAAAATAAATATGTATAAATACTAGTAAATTCATGCATCTTGATGTTACTGTTTAATATTTTAGTTTATATAAAATGTACATACTGGAAGTGAATGCTTCTTTGGTAGATTACAGTAGATAATGTTTTGTTGTGTACATGTTCCATTGTGTATAAAAGTCATTTTATATTTCTTTCCAGAGGAAAGTTTTCTTCCGAGTAATGAAGATTTGAATGATTTATCAACATATTTATCATTTACAATTCGAAAATGGAAGAAGCTTTCCACAGCAGATGACTTGAAGCCAAAATCACCGATAGTTTTAGTTATTTCATCAGCAGCAAAGAGGGCGGTAGACTTAAATCGAGAAGCAAAAGATTTTAAAGGAGAGTGTTCATCTGCCAAGTTGTTTGCCAAACATATGAAAGTGAGTATAAATAAAAATATACTGTTCATAGAAAAGACTATATAAAGTGGCAATCCTCTATTTAAATGAGTTATGCATTTGGTAAATTCTGACTAAGAATGATGAGTGTTTCTGTATTCAAATGAGGCAATATGCTGCATTCAGGGGCGGATCCAGAATTTACAGTATGCATTGAAATTTTAAAATTTAGTGGCAAAACGGGGGATGGGAAACGTGCACCCTACTGGATCGGCCTCTGGCTTTGCAACCAATATAAAAGGGCACTCTCAGAATTTTACATTTAGAAAATAACTACTGAACGGCGATTATGGAATTACACTTAATAATCACAAAGGACCCATTTTTACAATGATTTTATTATTAAGCTATATACACTCAATCAAATTTAATGTAACAAACACCTTTGCCATGCCAATAATATGGATATATTATCATCATATTTACATAATAGTTCATAAGGTGGACAGAACTTTATGCTAATAATATATGCCGTATTTTACACCCACAGAGAGCAATATTTAGTTATACATGTAACTACAGTAATGTAATTCCTCAGCTAAATCAGAGAATTCCCTGTGGATTGGTCAGGTTTGGATAGGTAAAATGCCTTGCACAGAGTGGTTTCGAAGGTTAAGTGCCAGAATCATAACCACTGCACAAGTTATATTTAAACTCAGTAAGTAATCAATTATTATCCTTCTTTTCAGATAACAGAGCAAGCAAAGTTCCTAACCAAAAACAAAGTACATTTTGCTGTAGGATGGAACTTCATTAGAGCACAGAACACAGCAATCCCTATTGGGTCTATCCACCACCGCACTGCTGATACCACCCTCTGCATCTTTACAAGATTGACACAGCTTCATCGGAAATGATGTTGGGCCTGGTTGGCAGTCTCCTTTGCAACGGAAATCCTATAAAATGTAGTTTATACATGTTTATAGAATCCGAGAGTAAAATTGGCAGAGTTGAGAGAAAAAAAAATTATCAACAGAGTATATCAAGAATTATGGATATATCAACAGCTGAGAGATTTTGTGATTGAGGCTGTAATTCAACAACCTTTATAAGATTTCTCATTGAGCTCTACAGAGCTGATCATTTGGCATCTCTTTTCATAGATAATAATAGTGAGCTGCATAGTTCAGTCTCTAATTCAAGACCCTGTAGTTCCGAGACCCTCTAATTCGAGACCACTTTTTTCAAAGAACCAAATGACAATCTTTGATCTATTAACACCAATCTAACCCTCTATGTCCTAAAGTTGGTCTTGAATTTTATAAAAATCAGTAATTTAAACAGAAGTACCCTCCTATTATACTTCTATTTTTTGGAGTCCTTAAGAGGTCTGCTTTACAGTAAGAACAGTGGCGGCGGTGGCAGGGGGGGGGGCTTAATCCCCCTGCCGGACAGAGCTCGTCGGGCAGTCAGACCATAAAACATAAAAATAGGCCCACACCAAGCCAACACATGTCTGTCACAGTCTGAGAGTGCCATTTTCGGCCATCTAGAGGTTGATTTTCTTTAAAAAAACTCATTTGGGAGACCCCCTCTCAACCCGAGCCTACGACATCAAGTCCCCCTGTCGGACAACTTAGCCCTCCAAGAAAATATATTCTAGAGCCGCCACTGCGTAAGAACACTAGCAGCATTTTTAAGACTAGTTGAATATCTATTTAAGCACAAGATTTCTTGTACATTGTACAGATGAGGCAAGACTTTTGTTATATCTTGTTTAGCGAATCCACCGCCCGCCAATAATGATGATTTTAAATTAAAATACAATTTAATTTTTGGTCAATTAGCACACCTACCGTCATTAAAAATGTAAATTTCAGAAAAAAATAAAAGTTTTTCTTATGTCCGTCGCTTCCATGAATCTCCAAAAAATAAAATATGTATATTTATTCTTAATTATATAAATTTAAAGCATTTAACCATCCCATTACTACACTGTTTACATTCAGCAATAACAATTTATTTTTATTTTCTTCTCCGTCTAAAATGTTTTTTGCAAAACTATTCGTTAAATGCGACAACAAAAATTTATTTTTCCCGCCCTCTGACGATCGTTAAAAAAATAAGTTCATGACAAACAAGGTATAGAAAAAGTCTCGCCTGAATTTACAGTACTGTACTGTGTACACAAAAGCTTTAAATACAACAAATCTCCAGATTACTACCTCCCATTAAAAGACTGATTTTTACGCAAAGGCCAACCTACAGACATTTTCATATTAATTGATATGATATATACATACTTTTAGTTGTTTAGCCACAGTAAATGCATCCATGTTGTTCCGCCTGGCATCGTGCATAAGAAACTGCACCAGTCTGCGGATTTCTCCAGCTTGCCGTAACTGGTATGGCAACTCTGCAATTGCCAATTCATCCGTGCTGCAGTGATACTGAAAGAAGTCTGCTAACTTGATGTGGATACTCTTGCATTTGTTCTGATCGCTTAGAAGTTCTTTGCGTACAGTCTTGAAAAGATGATAATTAGCTAGTAATCATTTAAAATCATTGTATGGCTTTACTGGTTAATCACCACAGTACATCAGGAATATGCTGTAAATACATACAAGCATACAGAAATGTCAATCTTCATCATTACTAGAAACTTTAAAATAAAAACTTTAAAATAAAACTTCAAAAGTATATTGTAAATATAAAAAAAGACATTTCATTGACAAATGGTGATACAGTGATAGTTAAACTAAACTAATCAAAGCTTAACCCCTTGATAAAAAAACAATATCAAATATTCTAGAATTTACAATAAGTTGAATAAATTAATTTGAATAAAACAGTAATGGAGCAAGAAATGAAACAAAAACTGTAAACAAAACTAATTATAAAATTTAAAAAAATAATAATAATAAAAAAACAAATAACTCGTCATCCCAAGTACTCATGATTAAAAATTTGCTGACAAATATTTTTCAACTAACACACCTAATTGCTTTCCGCTTATCAAGAATAGATTCATTGAGTCATCATACTAATCATAGATCCCGTTGCTTAATTTCAGTTACTTAACAACAACCAATGTTTCAAAGAAATATGGCTGTAGATAGCATAATTATATCATCACACCGGCTATCATCAGCATCTTCACAGAAATTATTATACCTCGTCTTTTGTGGCAGATTATATTCTACAAAGGTGTAAACTAATATAGATCATATAATGATTACAGTTTACCTGTTTAATAGATGAATGAAATAAGTTTAGCTGTTCTATTTGCCCTACTCTACCAGATTTTCTCAGGAAAGTCTTTAGTGTCCTCCTAGCCTGGGTCCACAGCAACATTGGAGCTGGTGTCTTTGAGTCTAAATCTCCAAGGATAAGTCTCAAGTCAATCTCCATTAGGCCCTGCCGTGAACATTCTAGAAGGCATAGAATCTGTAAGAACCAAAAAAAGTTTTTGATAGATTAAGTCACAGGCGTCGAGATCTTTGCATTTCCTTTGCTAAGACTATTTTGAACCCTACTTCTAAATTGTTTTCATTATTGCCTGTTAGAGATAATGTTGTCCACAAATATAATACACGATCTGCTGAAAAGCTTTGTAGCATTGTTTGTAATACGGTGCGCCACGCGAGCAGTCCTTTACTGCATTTGGTGAAGCTTATTAATGATTGTAATCTTTGAGCGGCACTCATTTTTTCTTTTCCTGATGTTCTGTTTCTGTTTGACGGACTCGATTTTCTCTTAACAAATGATGTTATCATGAAATGCAATTCAACTTGTGATGTTGATGCATCACTGAGCTGCTATATTTTATGAAATGTATGTTTTTTATATTGTTTTAAATAAAGAAATACTGAGAATAAAAAAAAAGAAGTTGGTCTGTTGACATGAACAGTAGGGCTAATCATATCAAAATTGTATTACTGTACACTCAGTGAAAATAGCTAATGCACAGCAGCTAGCTTCAAATTCTAGTGTCATAAGTTCGAAGTTCGCAAACGCAAGCATTTCATCAAACAACCTCCCCCACCCTCCCCCCACCACCTCCCCCCACCCCTATACTGGATATAGCATGTTTATCTTTTATCCTAACATTGAGTTTTACTGTTGAATAAGAGTAAAACATGAAACAAATTTAAGAACAAATTAAGAAATTCCTAGATATTATTTAGGGACTATTTTTCACAGTTTGTTCAGGTCTGAGTGTTTCTATAATATTATTTTTTGTACTGTATATAAATATACTTTTTAGGAATTATTCTGCACCTGTTCTACAAATCCAGTATCATCCTCTGTTATCATTCTCCTGATAATTTCAGCTAGCAGTTCTTCTAAAGTGCAAGGCAGTGTCTTTATACGATCTGTCAGACGTTCAAATACACCAAATACTCGCAGCTCCTCACATGCCAACGACAACCAAAGCACATTCTGCGCTCCTTGTGATGATGTCAATAATGACAGTTGTTCAGAATCCAAACTCTTGAGTTGCAAAAAAGGAGTAAAATTTTAATAGTTGATTTCATAATTTACTTTATCATTGTAAAAATTTCACTGACATTACCAAATGTTTTTCTTTCTGTACATGCACTTTGAGTAATGCTTATGTCATATTGCTACTGAACATGGTTTCTGCCGTGGATATTGGCGCTGTACAGGCAGCTGTAATTGAGTCAATTCTATTAAAATGAGTTAGAATGCAGTTTATGAGATTACACCTGCTGCCTTGTATGAACTTATGATGGACAAAACATTGAGGCAAACTATAAACAGTGTTTCTTTCAAGCACAGAACCACTTTGAACACATGATGCACTACATTATTATGCTAACTTTCAAAAAAATATTTTCTCTTTTGTAATTTAAAAAAGGACACTGAGATGCATTTACTGTACTTAGTGCAATTTTATTTATTTTTAAAATATTTATGTCAACATCTATGGGAAATAATATGAGCCTAGAGGAAGCTTTTTGACTTGCTTTTAATAGCTCCTTTTTAGTTAAGCCACAGACCTGTCACATTCCATACTACCAACATTGATACAACTTACTGTATATCAACTTAAAATACTGTATAATTGAAACGGTATTTCAAACCTTATTGTAAATTCCAAAATAATTTTTTACAAGTTGTGTTCTAGCACTTTCAGGCAAGTTAGGGAGGTCAATTTGATATGCTTCAGGAGATGCACAATCTAGGCTGCTTAGTGTCGCAGGCTCACGTGTGGTACTGATGATGAAACGCAGAGACCCATAGCTTTTTGTGGGAATCCACTTTAAGAAATCTGTGCTGTGGATAAGCTTAAGTAAAATGACAAATATATATATATTAGTAAAAAAAAACATAATTTTGAAAAACTGTATCTAATAAAGGGAGTTATAGTGACAACTCCTTGATTAAACAAAATTGAGCATCATGTTTTTATGACCTTTCAATTCTTGTAGGTACACTACATAAGCAATAGTGTTTACTGCCCTCAGCAGGGCAATAGACATAAAAATTAGAGACATTTTCAGGGGTTCCAAGTCTCTGGCTAGTTGCTGGAGTGTCCTGTAAATCAGGACAGCCTCCTGCACTTCTGCAACTGGAAAAGAATCTTCCAGAAAAGAGTCCACCTTCTGCAAATTCATTAAATCTGCATGTTTTTACTACTTACTGTAATACCCCTTTATCATCATATGTCTCATGGAATTCAGTGTCGATTGGTATCACCATAACCAGCAAAACAAAATTACTGTAAATGTGCCAAGAAAGCTTGTTTGAACAAATCTTCCGGAAATGACTTATTTAACTTGGGACCCTGCACTCCCCTGTGCCCTGCACATCCTTCAAAACCATGTGCCTGTATGTATAAGCACTGCACAAAACATTTTTTTTTGCATTTGAAAGGAATACCTGATTTATAGCATCAACAATGACCAGTAGTTGTTGCTTCGATTTACCAAATTCTTTCAGCATCGCCAACAAATCTCGTAAAGCACGGCCATACTTGAAGTCTGTTTTCATTTCCTCCAATCTCTTGTCTGAAAAAAACATTGTCAGTTGAAATATTGATTGATGGTGCTAAGAATGCTGTTTTCAACATGATAAAACAAGAAAACCTTAAATTGTTCCGAAATTGATAATAATCTCTGGTATATTTAGAGGAGGGGTGTGGGCTGAATGTCCTTAGACCGATTGTACCCCAGGTGTCCCGTCACTGAAAAATTGCTGAGCGGAAGAAATAAATCGACCTCATGGTGAGTCAAATGGCCGCTGCAACCTACATCCATATTGACGCTGGTTTGTACAGCATCGCTCGCCTATGGTTCCGTTGGTGGAACAAGTCTACTCGGATGAGGACTCTAAACCGTAGGCCCAGTGTACACAATTGGCTTGTGTGCACTTTAAAGAACCCAGTTGATCCTTCGAGAAGAGTAGGGGGTTATCCCGGTGTACTAGTCCATTCAGCCAGCCAGCGGGGGGCAGGGGGCTTAAGCCCCCCCCCACCTCAACATCGGCCAAAGCTCGTCGGGCAGTCAGTCCAAAAAAAACAGGCCTAGTTTTCCCATCCCAGACATTTAAGGCCATCTAAGAGTCCCAATTTTTTAAAAAATCTCGTTTTGTGAGGAGGTGACCCCCCTCTCATACCCACCCCTGGCTCGGGCCTTCGGCCCTCAGATAACGCTGCACGCTATAGTTACACCCATAAATACTTAGCCCCAGTCGGACATCTTAGCCCCCCCTCCTCATAAGTTATATCCTAGAGCCGCCACTGGTTGTCACTACTTTTAAATACACCATTGCTTATAATGTCAGAATCTATTTACCATTAGGCTTGGCAATTGCTTCAGACAGTCTGAGGAGGAGGTTAGCTGGGTCTGATGATAAACTACTGCAACCAACAAAGTGATAGAAGACATTTAAACCAGCCTGTAAAATATTGTTATTAAATCTGCCTTATTAAAAGTGCCTGCCATTATCATCTTCTGTCATCACAAAAATTTTCATCACCAAAAGAACCAACAGGCTACAGTACACTCACAACAAAATCAACAATATCACCGGAAGCACCATAGTCATTATTATCATAATTTATTTCATACTGTTTCAAACAAACTTATTGGTATAGCCAAGGTTTTTGTTATTAACATAATGAACGTTATATCCAATTTCTCTATCATTCCAAATAGTAAATTACCCTAACATAAACTGACACACCTTCTTAGCCTCATGAGCACATTTCCCCATGAGGGCACTCTTCCCTTGACCAGGCTCTGCCATAATCACCAGAGGGGGTGTTTTAATACTCTTGTATCCTAACCCCCCAACTTTCTTATCCTCTGTGGGGGAAGATCGAGACTTAATCAAGCCTGACTCAGCAACCTTCTGATCTGTTGCGAATTTCAGCATCATTTGGACTAGCTCATCACGACCATAAACAAGACACCCTCGTTGTTCAAAGAAAGTGTTGTGGTTGTCATTCTCAATTTCTTCTGGAGTTTGGTCCCTCATAGCTACTGGATACTGCTTAGCAATTGCACTCTTGAAGAAATTTGTTACCATTGTGGCAAAATCATCTAACCCCTTCATTGTAACCTGGTAATTAGATTTTATTAACATTAATTAATTGAACTTTATATCATCTTTCAAATTAAGCACTAATCTGTAGGGTATGTGTATGTGACAAACAGAAATATTATGAAAAAAAAATTTGTCTGCTGGTGTAATAACCATTTTACTACCTGTCATGTCTTTTTATTAGTGAAGACGTGGTTAATAATAATAATAAAAATAATAAAAACAACAACAATAATAATAATAATAATACACATAACACTAGTAGGATAAACTTAGCATTCTTTGAGCTGTTGCACTTAAATGGTATGAAATAAGCATACTTTGTTAAGAAAAAATATATCCTACCTTATTGTTTTTTACACCTTCCACTTCACACTTATAATCCAAAACCTGATTGGGAAAGCGTTTTCTAAGACTTCTCTTTAATTCCTGGTGACGTAAAAAGCTTTAGCATTTATTTGTTTAGTCATTCACTTATAGTAAAATTTGGGTGACAGATATTAGTTGCAGAAGGGCCCCTCTTGGTTTATGACTGTTGCTTTTAAATGTAAACATTCATTTAAAGAAAAATGAAGTTGTATGAATAATTTTAAAAATATATATATATGGTGGCCTAACATTCGTGGCTCCACAAATTTGCCGACAAGGGGTCCGACTGCAGGGTTCCGAACCAAGGGGCCGACTAGAGCCTTGATCAGGATCCCTGAAGAAAAATTCTCAAGGTATGTGTGCCTGTGTGGTACTCTCATGTGTATATCCTGCACTTAAAACATTTTATAAACCAAGTTTGACAGCACCACCACTTCTGTAGATATGAGGGACATAAATTTGTTGATTTGTGTGAAACCTACTTTTAATTGAGCAACAGCAAGTGGTTCTGTATCTACAAATGATTCACGAAATTCTTCCGCAAGTGTATCTAAGAACGATGAATCCTTCAGGAGAAATACAGCATTTGGGTTCCGAGTCCTGTAGGCACCATTCACTATCTCCATATGAGTTATGGAGAAACCGGGAATCCACTGGTATTTAGAAGCAATGTCAGATGGGACATCATCTTCACTTGGAATCCATCCATAACTACATCAATGCATAAAATCATTTTATAATATGTGGCAAAGACAAGCTAAACCAGTCACTCGTCGCAAAATTTGTTAGTTATCTTAAAGAGTAGAATGGGAGCTATAAAATGGTAAAAGAATCATTTAAATCCGACATTTCGTTATGAAGTTACAGGAGTTCAAACATATAGCCGTTTAAAGAACAATATTTGAGAAATCAGCCTTCAAAGTTTATGATTTCAGGTATTTCTAAGTCAGAAACCATCACCAAATATTTAAAATTGTTGTTCTAACATAGAAAATGGAGAAAATAACGGAATAGAATGATGTATAGATATACAAATGTTAGTTTAATGCAATAAAAAGGTTTCCAAAATTTTAACATTCCAGCATGTTTTGGCCATTATCTCCGAAAAAGGATTTGCGACGAGTGACTGGTTTAGCTGGTCTTTGCCACATATCATCTAATAGTAATAATGATAACAATAATAATAATAATAATAATAATAATAATAATAATAATAATAAGTTTTATCAATTCACGGAAACTCATTTCAGTCTTTTTACAAAGATTGGCCTTCCAAGAGGCTGTGTCCTTAAACTACTACAGCAAACAAAAGATTTAAAAGCAAAAGAAAAACAAAAGAAGGTACTATATGTTATCATCACATCATTATAGTAACATATAATTTCATTAATTCCACCATTAACATCATTCATCAACACCTTCACCACCATAATCATCATCAACACCTTCACCATCATAATCACTATCATCACCATCATCATCATCATATCATCAACAACAGCATCATTATCACGCTCATCACTACTTAAAATAAAGTTTTGTATTCATGTTGTCATTTTTGGCAAAAGAAAAATCACTTTCTTTATCAATTTTATGATACTGCCAAAATGGAATACCTTCCTAAGCAAAAGATGATGTATTACCGTTCGCTTAACATATTCAAGAAGAAGCCTTTGCCATTGGTTTCATCATGACATATCTGGATCTCATCTAAGCAGGTGCATAGAATTGTTCTAGTTGTTGAGTCCTTTGGAACACCCCACCTCAGGTCACATTCAACCAAATGCAGATGGCGTTCTTCACAGAATTCTTTTAAGTCCGGGAATACCTGACTTTGATAAAGGATATTGGATTTAAAACAATAGTACATGAAGTGGCAGTTACAGTTTTGACCATAATTTAGTGGAATTTAAATTCATCCAGCTATGTAATGTGAATATGCTGAATTTCTATCATTCTATTGGTTTATAATAATTATATCATGCATAACTTCTCTATAGTGGGTGATGCATGTTTGACTGCAATAAAATCTTCAAATCATTATTCACATTATCAAACTGCAATGGATTCTTCTCTACTATTACTGACCTTCTTCACCAAAACCTCACGCTCAGCATGTAAATCTGCAAATGTCGAGGAAACAAACAAGCGAACAACCTGCCAACCATAAGGCCGGTCTGTCAGAGGTCTGCATTGTGCCTCAATTGATGAGCACTGTGCTTCTAGAAGTTTCCAGGATTTTCTGACAATTTCTTCAACATCAGAAGGATCATGTGAACAGGGAGATGACGCCATAATCAAGGGAGCTATGTAAATGTTAACGGAGACTGTTTTTGAATAACCTGATATTGCACAACAGTGTTATTATTACTATAATTATTATCTTGTACTGTACATACATTAAAATTTACAAAAATGATTAACAGCATGGGATACAAATTTAATCAAATATGAGACAGGATCACACAAAAAAACTAAACTGTTGTCGAGAGTTACTTTTCCACAAACAGATAAGTTATCAAGAAATATATTGAAGTACAGTATACATTATTCAAAAGGCATTACAGTAATGTAAGTTTGAAAAAAATACAATTTAAAATGAGTTAAAAATATTCTGAAGCAGTTTCTATCACCATACAATATCTAACTCCTGATCCTAAAATTATTGTATTGTTCCATGCTGACTGTATTATGTATACCATTATATACATGTCAACAAACTTCCAATTGATTTTTACCTAATCCTAATCTAACCAACTTCAAAACTGCCCTGCTATAATAGGTCAGTCCATTTTATTTATCTAGAAATATTAAGAATTTTAAGCTACTCACAATCTCATGGAACTACATCTGATAAAACCAAGAAACAATTTCCTCAATAGAAAATGTTGAATGGTAGGTCAGTCAGTGACTTACAGTACAAGCAGATCAAAGGCTTGCCTTGATCACTTCAACCTTGTGTTTTAAACACTTCCCTGTAACATTCCATAATCCTTGACTGCATGCAGTTTGACTCAATTATCAATTGCTCACTGACAATTCCTATATTTCCTCTCAATAATCAGAAGGATATAAAGTTTGTGTCATGATGAGAATCTGTTGCATATAGTGCACAATCATTGGCCAATGAGGAACACACTGACACATTATCTTTGTAAAGCTGTCCAGACTATCCAATTTTCTTTGACAAGAAAAAATACCATAGTATGCCCACCTATAGTCATAACGTGCCTATATATGGTCATAATGTGATTTCATCATGACCATATTTAGGCATGTCACATGTTTTTGTCAAATAAAATTTGTCTAGAAAATAGTTAAAGTTGTGTCATTAAAATATTAATAAATATATGGCACTGAAGATGCTTTATCCATGATACTTTACCCCATGTAATTTCTTTTTAAATACAGTTAGTGTACTTGTACTGGTTAAACAATATGTGATTAAATTTTGTACATTTTTATGTTGGCTGTATGTGATGTGAGAAACAAACAATCATAAGCATGTTTTAAAAAACTACTTTTTATTCCTCAAAAGTCATACAAAATATATCTTATATATTAATGAAGTCCTCAACAGGGACGATACCCTTTTTTATTAAACCTCCACACCCCCCCAAATATAAAACATAAAATAATTTTAGGTACTATATAAACAACAAATTTATAAAAAAAAAAAAACACCACACACAAGGCCATAGATCAGGCAGTGAGACTGTAGTTTCATGTCTAGAAATCTTTAAAATAGTGAGGGTACATGTAACCAGGGAGTTGTTATGTAACAAAGGTCACATATCAAAAATTTTCAGATGTAATTCTGAATTGCCTGCTCCTACCTTACTCAAATGCACAAGGATATGCCTAAAAAAACTCAACACTGAAATAAAAATTGAAATAAAATAGTCTTTAAATGTACTGTATGTAGAACAAAAATGATGAAGATATATCACAATAATGAAGTAACACCAATTTTTTTCTATGAAATTTGGTAAATCACATATTACAACAACCACAGAATAATTGCAATGGCTCACTCACTACCAATCAGTGAAAATTTGTTTAGTCCCTAGTTTGAATCAGTTTTGTTGAAGTCAATAAATGTTTAAGTTAATAACTTGTTTCAATTAAGAAGCTCTTGAGATATGATAAATGTGAAAAGTGTTACATACATTTCATAAACTATTATCATTATACTTATTACTATTACTTTACCATTTCCATGGTTTTTACATACTGTAAACCGCAGGTGGACAAAGTGCGGCCTGCGGCAAATGAAAACAAATTAAAAACCCTATGTGCCAACCATCTTTGGGAAGTGGGGGTAGACTGTAAGGTGAGGTCTCACCACGAATGGGACGCATCGTTGGTGAAATCATATTGAAATATTCACCAAATTAGGTCAAAGTAAAAATTCCGACAGAATTTTGATTTCAATGTTTTTCAATCTTGATACGTGTATTTTATGACTGTATACTTTTAAGTGAATTTTCTTACTAAAACAGTGTTCTCTATGCATATTCTGTAATTCTAGTCCTATTATTTGTATGTTAGTTTATCTCTGAGGCTGATTTTCTCAAAATGTGGTTCTCATACACCTAAATTTTAAATGCTCACATCTCTAGATCTGCTTATCCAAGGGAATTAAATTAAAACTTATAATGTGATTTACCCAAATATAATATCAACACAATTTGTGATTTTCTAAAAATGAGACTCACTTTGAGGTGAGACCTCATTGGCATTGGGTACAAGTTCACTATAATCCTTACAATTAACACTCACTCATTTGTTACAAGCTTTGTACATCTTCTAGTATTGATGCCTCCACTGCAAATCATACAAAGATACATTGATAATGGTTTATGCATAGGTGTTGCATGAAGAGGTTTCTTGCAGACACAGCACATCTCTAGGCTTCCGTAATTCCTTTCAGAATGTTCCATGCACAACATGGCTGAAAGAAGAAAAATGTATGACTTCTTCAGAGTATTTCTGCTGTATCGCATCATTAACATTGAATAACGCCAGTTAAATCTTCTAAATTGTGTCTAAAATGTACTTAAGAACATTGTCATAATGGTTAGATAATTTTTAAAACATATGGCTACAAATATTCAGATTTTCCTACGATAAATTACATTTTCATATTTCATAATTTTAAATCCTTTCAAAACTTTAACTTAAAGATTAAGGTAAGCAAGCAGGGAATATGTCCCTGTACAACACAGGTGGGCAAAGTGCGGCCCGACAGCGATTTGTTTGCGGCCCGCGACAATGAATTAAAAACCCTATGTGTGCAGCCTGCCAAGCAAAATTGGCTCGAAAATACCTTGTTTTTTTACGGCCCGGCACCCACCATATGTAAAAAGTGACATTAAAACTGAGAATAAAGTGGTGTAAAAGCAGTGCTTGGAGGATTTTGGAAGCTCACTGGAAACATCAAAGTTCAGGTGCGGCCCGCGGTGTTAAATCAAAATAATTCACTTTGGCCCTTCGACCGATATTTATGCACACCCCTGCTGTACAAGATGCCTACCAGAGAATTAATATTACAACACTTACCTTCACTGTCTTTTTTTCGTTGGAATGGGGAAACAAATTCCCCACACACATAGCAGATATCTTTATTTGGCCAGACGGCACGTTTTACAATGCCTCCTTTGAAGTTTTGACAGAAGGTACAAATTTTTACAACTGAAGCAAAAGGCCCTGGTGATAAAAACCGCTTCTGACAACGTAGATCCTGTGGCAAAATAAATTTAAAATAAAGATGATAATTAACAATGACTATGACAGCAACAGCAATCAATTTTAACGTAATATTTTGAAGGGCCTGTAGGAAAACAGTGATAGTGACAGCAAAAAGAAACACTAGTTTCTTACAAAACTCGGGTGACATGGACTAAAACAGCTAAAGGGAGAAAATGCACCATGTATTTCCTGAAAATTCCTTCAGGCAAATTTGGATTCTGCTTTGTTATAACTTACCTGTTCCCGTTTTATCTTCAATTTTTGTGGGTTTTTTTTATCATCAGAATCCTAATTGTAAATTTCATATTTTTCATAATATAAAGAAATATAATCACTGCATAAGCAGTGCTATTTAATTTCCCTGTATAATTTCAAGCCAGTGAGCACAAAAATATTTGCTCAATAATGTAACAAGCTGCATCCTAGAATCCATACAACAACGAGAACAATCACGACCAGAAGGACCCCACTGGAAATAAATCCAATCCAATCCAACTACACGTTCTCACATGCACAGGTGACTTCTTAGAGATGTCATTACATTCTACTGTAGGTCCTATCGTTGTTGTGCCGTCGAAAGCTCCTTAGTAATTGTAATTAGAACTTGGTAAAACAATAATTTTCCTCCTCAGAACAAAAGATAAATGCTGTACAAAGAAATCATCCATGCAAGGTAATGGAAGCTGTTAAGTTATACTTTAACTTACTTGTCCATTGGAAGGATTTTCCATCTCAGATTGTTGAAAATTTGAAGAAATAAAAATGTTGAAACTTTAAAGTGATGATCACTGATAACAAAAAATATGCTATGCTGGTTTGGACATGTGATCAACAATCAAACACCCATTTCAATAGAAAAACTCTTAGTATGAATTGCTAACAAGCAAAGCATCATTTTGTGCAAATATAATCACACAGGTGTTCTTTATTGACCAACATCTGATATAAGTGTTTAAATTTACGTCCTTGCAGTGGCATTTCCTAGTTGATTCAAAGTGGATTAATAGCACAGAAGGAATAATCAGCAATAAATTTTAATTTTATTTCCTGGTTCCTAATTCAAACTAAATTAAAGAGAGAGTTATGTTTTAGTTATTAGTTCCTAATTAAAACTGGATCAAGAGGAAAGTCACATTTTAGTGCCCCTCTTTTGTGGGGTTGTCCCACTTTTATTCATAAATTGAAAATACATAATATACTGTAAGTTATGTTTCATAACAAATCATTTCTTATACAACATTGTTTTACATATCAACATAATTTTTCTAATATTTTGTATTTATTTGTAAACCATCCATAAAAGGCAAAGTGTACTATTGATATACCTGTTTCTTCTTTTTTTCTTTCCTAAAGTCTTTATCAAAATCTTACTAAATTAAATAGGAACTTTAACAATTCTATTTTTAGTACCTGGATATAATCAGCATTTAATTTTATATCTAGTTTTTATTTGGTTAAATGAGCTTTCTGAACACCATTATCTTTATTCTACTGCACAAGGTACTGTAAAAGTGGTAATGTTTGCGTGCGTACATTTTCGTGGTTTGCGACCATATCATCATGTTTGCGAGTTTTTATTTTTGCGAATTTCAATTTTTCATCTGTCGTATATTATTCCGATGTATAAGCCTGTGTATAAGCTGCACCTCTATTTAGGACGCGCAATATCATATTTTTTATATGTTAACTGTGTATAATGTATAAATGTTAAGTTTTTCTTTATTTGGAAACATTGACATTATTTACTAATGGTCAATAAAGATATTTCAACTTTATCAGACCAATTATTAAACAACAAAAAACTGGAATGCGTGTATAATTCTGGCTAACCAGCTGCAATGAAACAACGTATTACTCTACCTAGGGAAATCCCCATTTTTGACTAGACGGTCATGCTCTTTTAAATTTTCAACAATTAGTTTAGTTAAAGTTGAATAAAATCTAATACAAATAAAATAATCGTGAGTATATTTATCTATTCAATTATAATCATTCTATTACAATAGTAACTAATAACAGCCAGTATTAAGCTAAAAATATTGTTAATTCTAGGCCAAAGTCATTACTACTCACAGCCCACTGTGCTAAACATGCAACATCACGCACAACGTGATACAATGTTTACACATCGGCAGATGACGTGTGCCTTTCTATGGTTAAGTTCAAGTAAAAAACGAATTACAACTTAAGAAAATTCACAAGTTTTTATTCTAAAATCATACCACTATTTAGTTCGGTATATTCTTTCTATCAGTATTAGCCACCGGGAACCAGACGTCGTACAGCAAGTTTCAACCAGTTTACCACCAACCATGTGTTTTGTTGCGACATTCGAGAAGCTGCTCATGTCCATTGAGGACCGAAAAATCGTTTGTTATTAATTTGAGCGAAGTGGGTTCAAACAGAAACAACAGTGTTTATAATGAATGAATGTAATTGTTTTCAAGGAGCATCCAACGTCTCCCTGGAGCCTTCAGACTTAGTACAGTATGTGACAATTCTTGATATCTAAAGTCTAGTGTGAACATCAGGCACATAGTTTAAATTACTCCTGTCTCCTTATTTTGTAATTAATAGTAACAAAATTTTTACAAGGTTTCTCACTTACTTGTAATGTCCTAGCTATCATCACCCATCCCATCTTCTGTGCTCTTGTGTCTGTATTCAAAAACTCCGCCAATCTCTTAGTCTTGCCCACCTTCTTCAGTTGATGTGGAAGCTCACTGACAACCCTCATTGTATCTTGAGAATGATACTGAAAGAACTCAGCAAGTCTCAAGTGGTGAACCTCCTGTTTTTCTGTACTTGACAATAGACACTGTTGTACAGCCTGAAAAATAAAGAACAAATTTTAAACTACTTGTATTTATAATATTAAAATAACTGGTATTCTTGTAGAACACAAAATGGCTCAAGGGGCCATAAGGCATCTTAAATTTGTTTTGTAAAATGAGAAATTTTCCTGATTGTGTAGTAATCATTTTAAGAAATCCAGTAGTTTGAAAGGTTATCATACTATAAAATCATTGTATAAAAATTATATTGAACGTTCGGCTGCTCTTTGATGTGTCAGACCATCGTAGTGGACATGTAGCTTGGTGGTTAAAATACTTAGAGTCAAATCCAAATATCTTGGGATCAAACCTTGTCATTGCAGGGTTTTTTTCTTGCACTCTACTCCCTAAGCCCCATAAGGAGACTTTATAAGCTTCATTCCACCCTGGAGATAAGGGAGTAATGTTCAAGTATTACCTTCTTGATTGATGCATGGAAGAAATCCAGCATCTGTTCTCCTCCTGTTGCACTTGAGTTCCTTAAGAATGGCTTCAATGTACGTCTAGCTTGAGCCCATGGCAACATAGCAACTGGTTCGTTACTTTCACAGTCACCCAGCAAGAAATGTAGCTCTGTCTCCTTCAGACCACTTTGGGAACACTCCAAGAAACACAAAATCTGAAAAAAGAATTGCTCAAATCATATACAAAATACCAGCTGGATCACAGCCAGTCACAGGAATACAGACCTCAGGATGTTAACATTTTAATTGGATAAATAGGATGATTGCAAGTTGGCAAACATTAATATGAATGTGGACTGTTACTACAACTACCAGCAAAGTTGTCAATAAAATATTAAAATTTTTGAACCCATTTAATTTATAAAATAATTTCTATTTGGCATACTTGTTCCACTAATGATGTTTCATCTTCATTAATCATTCGCTGAATTATCTCCGATATCAGGCCTTCTAGTGATGGATGAATTTGTTTTATGCGTTGAGTGACTTCCTCAAATACTCCAAAGATACGTAGCTCTTCACAGACCAACGACAACCACAATACATTCTTGGCTCCTTCTGATTGGACAATTAAAGCAAGTTGTTCAGGGTCCAATTTCTAGTAAAGTATTAAAAGACTTTTAAATTTGAATCAATTAAACATATAAAAACAAAGTAATGAAAAAACACCAAGACGAAAATCTACAAGCAGAATCTAAAGAACCCCTCTAGAACAAATAATGAGATACTAAACACAGACAACAGCAGTGACAACAATGATGTTGAAGTTAATGGTAATGTGTATACACATCTCTTTTGAACTTTTTTAGGTGGTAAATGTCATGAGGGCATATGGGGATTTAGAGAGATCGGTCCTCTTACAAATGACAAAGACATAAAAAGCTGATTTTATAAAAGTGACACATAAACAGAAAAAAATATTGTTATAATAAGAAGCACATTTGCAAAGGTACTACCCAAAACTGTCATGATATAATACAATAGCCTATATTTGGCTTCCCGTAGTACCTTGTTATATCTAGCAAAGTAGTTCTGAACAACATCAATTTTTGCTGATTCATCCAGCTCCGCCAGATGAAGTTTAGCCGCAGAGGGCAGCATACCATTTATTTTATCCAATACACCACCTTCCCGTGTAGTGCTCATTATGAATCGCATTGATCCAAAGCAAAGGTCTGTTGGAATCCATTTTAGGTTATCTTCAGTTGCACGGAGCTGTGGAGAAAAATCCGAATTTGGAATGTAGTGGTGGGTCACTCGCTGTTATGATAAAGAGTTGCCCTCAACAATGTATCATCTAAAGTGAAAAGGGCAAATATATAGTGAGGCTTTGCTAATAAATTCAAATCTGTTGATCAGCAAGGGCATATGGATTCAAATGGGAGTAGGTGGTGCTTTACAGCCAATAGCTCATTATGAATTGCATTGATCCAAAGCATAGGTCTGTTGGAATCCATTCCTCTCAACAATGTATCATTGCAAAGGGCAAATTTTAAGTCAGTTTTCCTAATCATCATCAATTCAAATCTGTCAATCAGCAGCAAGTGCGTATAGATTCAAATGGGAGTAGGTAGTTCTATACACTCAATTACAGAAAAAGTTAAATTTAAATAGTGAATTTTAGAAGAGTAAGCCAACAAGTAAATATACTATGTTGTGAAGTCTTAATTTAATAGTGGATCATTGTGATACCTGATTAACAGCATCAATGATTATCAGCAGCTGTTCGTCAGATTTACCAAAATCTTTCAACAGTTGTGCCAGTAATATTACAGCTTTACTGTATTCAAATTTCTCCTTTAACTCATTCCACTCTGTATCTGCATAAAAAAAATATTTTGTTACTGTGTTGTATTTGCATAAGATACTGTACTGTTATGGAATGATAGTTTCAATGTTGATGGATTAAACTTGCCACACGTTTCCTTTCTCCATCTTAACAGCACCACCAAGCAAATTTGGAGAAAGAAAACTAAAAAAAAGAAAAGAAATTGAGTATGGGATGCCAATTAAGATTTAGTATAGTGTGAACTAAGTGCAATAAAGGATTATATTTCATAGAATTCACTAAGAAACCTAAGTTAGTGCCTGGAAACCAGGCTACTGATGGAAGTGCAACATAGAGAACTAAGGCAGGTGTTTAGCAGGAGAATTCAAGTGATATGAGATGATTTTTACAATATGAGTGTAAATTTTTGCTTTGCGTGAAAAGGGGATGCCAACTAATCATGTGCGAATGTGCTCCTCCTCATGCACACATAGATAGAAATTTGGAACCAGATAGCCAGTGTGTAATTGTCAAACGTCTCTTAAATAAAATTGTTTCTTCATCAAAAAAGGCTTTTATTACATTGCACGTCTGACAGAAAATCACAAACTTACTCTCGCTTTTGATCAACGATTCACAGAGTCTGTAGACAAGATTAGAAGCATCAGTTGACTGACCTGTACACCCTATGAAGTGATAGAACACATTCAAGCCAGCCTGCAATAAATTATGAGGAAATTATCAATAATTATTAATAAATTATAATACATTCTAATTAAAAAATATATTATTCATTAATAACACTTTTTAAACTTACTTGTCAAGCTGTGCCTGTTATAATTAATAATTGTATTATTATATATATATCTCTGGATTCACAGCATTCTTATTATGATAGTATATTACAGTTAAATTTGCCTAAGTCGATTGTGCCTAAGTCGAATCATTTCTAAGTCGAATAATTTCTAAGTCGATCTTATTTTACATGCCAAATTGTTGTGTTTTCCATTAATTAACAATCTGTAAGAAGAATTTTATCTAAGTCGAACAATATTTCAATGGAATTTTGGATTCGACTTAGGCAAGTTCAACTGTAGTTAAATTAGAAAACACATTTGAATAATAAACTAGCAAATTCTGTACTTAAGACCTGTGTTGTGATAAAACTTGAAAATAAAATTATTTTTTTTGGAATTGCTTACTTTCTACTGTATATGATAAAAATAAATAATAATAATTGAGAATATATTTAGCACAAATTATAAATGTTAAAATCAAAAGCTAGCTTTTCATTGAAAATTATAGAGAAGGGAATGTTTTGCTAGGCTATCCACAGTCTATAACATAATAATATTCTTATGTTTTTTGCATTGGCCCTACTGCTATAACTTACATGTTCTGCTTCTCTGACACACTTGGCCATTAAGGCACTTTTTCCTTGGCCAGGATCGCCAACAATCACCATTGGTGAGCTACCATCCCCATCCACAAATTTACATCCAGATTTTGCATATATTAACATCTTTTGAATTTCCTGGTCTCTGCCAAACACCATGGCACCTCTCTGTTCCATGAATATTTGGTGTTGCTCCATTTCCACTTCATCTGGTGTTAGGTTCCTCAACTCTTTCTCTGGATAATGACGGGTAATTGCGGACTTGTAGAACTCCAACACGGTCTTGGCGAACTTGTCCTCAAGGCCACTCATCTTAACCTAGAATATGTAAATATGATATATTTGTTAAGCTCTGCCCACACTATCAAATTTTCTATATAGTCTTGATGTGCCTAAATATGGTCATGATGTGTCTATATATGGTCATGATGTGATGTCATCATGACCATATATTTAGGCATGTTACATGCTTTTGTCAACTAAGGCTACGTTCAGACTTGGAGATAAGCCTGTCTTGAGTTAAGCCCGGCTCAACATTAAGCCCGGCTTAACTTTGCCGGGCATTCAGAATAGCGGGTTTAGCCAGGCGAGAATTTGCATAATAATGAAGCGTAACCAGGAAACGTGTTTCAAAACATTGCTCGCGAAATACGTATGCTCGCTCACTGTACGTAATTGAATGCTGATTGGTCATTTTGTTACACGGAAGTCAATGCAAGACCCCCTGCTACGATTAAAGCCCAGCTTAGAAAAGTTAAACACGGTGGCACGCCAGGCCTTGAGATAAGTCAGCTAGTACAGACTGGCAGGGGGATAAACCCGGTGAGTTGAGCCAGGTTTATCCACTTAGTTTGAACTAGGCCTTAATCTTGATTGTCTGGACAAGACTTTAGAATTTCAATATAAATTTCATCTTCCTTTTAAACTACCAGTTTCGAGAGCAGCTTAGCTCAGTCGGCTAATCTGGTGGTAGCCATGTGTGTGCGCTGAACCGTCGAGATCTTTATGTCCCCTGTTCAATTTCCACCACTGCCTCTCCTTGTATTTCAGCTGGAGGGCTGAATACAAGTTACAATACGGTACAGCCTTTCAGATGAGACATTTAAGCCGTTGGTCCCGTGTGCATTTATGGTCCATGTGCAAGTTAAAGAACGCAGCACACTTTTTGCAAAAGTCCAATCCAATCTAATCTACAGCACTGGTACATGTTTACTGAGCAGAAAGCGGAATTTTGTACACACAAAAAAAAAATTAAATAAATAAATCTATTTTCTGTGACCCTCCCTTTCAACATCAAAATAATCAAATTAAAAACACTCTTTATATCATGTAGTTAAAGGAGACAACAGAACATAATTCAATTAAAACAATAAATAAATCATGTACCTGTAGTTATAACACAATCTAAAATTCAAATGATTATATGTAGGGACAAAGAGGTGTTGTGATTGATTGATTGATTGATTGATTGATTGATTTTATTTAGTATCAGTACATACAAAAATACAAAGCAAACAATGAGAGAGAAGACAAGGACATGATACTAAGGATGACCCAAGAAAGGTTAAAAAAACCCCTTTTTTCCATTGGGTCCTTACATTACAAAAGAGAATACAAAATTCAGAAGTAAAAAATCACCAGGGTAAAAGAAATCCGGCAATGCCCATCATAGAGGGGCAAAAACAAATTATTAAAAAACATTGCAATGAAGCACATTAAAAAGTTAGACAAGTTTAAAATTTAAAAGTAAAGACTAAAAAAATTTGACAAGTAGGTAAGTCTTTTTATTTATAATAGAGAAAGCATATTTAACATTTTTACTTGCCTTTCCATTTTCAACTGTGTCGACCTTGCAAGTATAGTCAAACACTTGATCAGTGAAATGCTCTTTGAGGTGTCTCTTCAGTTCCTGTAAGACAATTTGAAAGTGACCTTGGTCATGAATTAGATTCAGCATGGTTAAAACACTCAAGACCCTAGGACATGCAGTGTACTTTGGTAGTGCATATCTGTGGGGGTGGGTGGGGGCTAGTGGAGAGAATCGAGTCTCACTTGGCTGGGGGCCAGGGGGCCGTCCAGGGCCCACGGATATTTGATGAATTATGGCGAATTTTTATTACTTATTTGATAGGCATCAAGTTACTATATGACTTCATGTAGGCTATGCTTTCTAATGTTGAAATCAGCTTCCAAAACCAAAACATTTTGAATAAAGCAAGAAACAAAGAGTATGCAATGTAACCATCTAATTTATTTTCAAATCCCGGTCATTCTTGAAAGTGAAATTCTATATTTTGAAAATTTTGCATGAAATCTGTCAACCACGCTGTCATGGTCGAGGTTGCTTCACCTATCACAATGTATTCCAACCATCACAAGGCTATCTAAATGAGCATTTGTCATAACAGAACGCAAATTATTTATAATTAGTCTCTCATTGAATTATTATTATTATTATTATTATTGTTATTGTTGTTGTTGTAATGATGATGAAAAGTTAACACAAACAATATGGTGGCTAAACGAATATTATTACATGTAAATATCTTTTTTATTTTGTTTGTTCCCCGACAAAATTTATCGTCTTCCCCGACAGGGGGGGGGGGCCCTCTGGCGCCACCACTGGAGGAAAAATGATCTTAAAAGTATAATATCAATAAATTTATATTTTAATATTACGATAGAGCATATACCTTCAGTTGTCTTTTACAATACTCTGCATTATCAACAAACCCGGCATTCTGGTCCTCAGGTAAATCTTCAAGAAATGATGGATCTCTGATCAGAAACAGAGCATTGGGATTTTTGGTTGCATAGGCACCTCGAACTATCTCCATATGTGTGACAGAGGTGCCATGGACCCAACCATACTGCTTAGTCAGATCTTCTGGTACAGAGTCTTCATCTGGCACCCAACCATATCTGCGAAAGACAAAATTGAAAGCACTGTAATGGAAGTAGGTGACAATGTATTCCATATTTTTTTTCATTTCACTACATGGCATTCAAATTAAAATTTTAAAAATGTACTGTAGTGGCAAATCAGGGGAAAAGGGTTCCCCTCACTCGCAAAAATTTATCTTTCCCCAGTTGCGCCCCCCCCCCCACAATC